AAGGAATAGAAAATTTATTTGAAGAAATAATAGCTGAAAACTTCCTGAATCTAGAGAAGGAAAGAGAAATCCAGATCCAGGAACCACAGAGAACCCCCAACAAAGTCGACCCCAAAGATGTCCATACCAAAATACATAGTAACTAAGATGGCAAAAAGTAGTGATCAAGATAAAAATTTAAAAGGAGCCAGAGAAAAGAATGCAGTAACATACAGGGGAAACCTCATAAGGTTATTAGCTGATTTTTCAGCAGAAACTTTGCAGGCTGGAAGGGAGTGTCATGATATATCCAAAGTGCTGAAAGAAAAAAAATTCTGCAGCCAAGAACACTCTATTCAGTAATGCTCTCATTCAGGATAGAAGAAGAGATTAGGAGTTTCCCAGACAAGAAAAGTTAAAGAAATTCATGTCCATTAAGTCAGCCTGATAAGAAATTTAAAAGGGACTTTTTGAGTGGAAAGGAAAGACCATAAGTAGGAATAAGAAAGGTAGGAAGCACAAAAGCAGTAACATTAAATGTATCTGTAAAAATCAGTCAAGCGATTCACAAAATAAAAGATGTAAGGTATGACACCATATGCATAAAATGTGGAGTGGGGGGAGAAGAGTGAAGAATGGGTTCAAACTTAAGTGACCGTCAACTTAATATAGACTGCTACATATAATACTAATGGCAACCACAAATCAAAAACCTGTAATAGATATGCAAAAAACAAAGAGAAAGAAATCTAAGTATATCACTAAAGAAAGCCAGCAAACCATGAGAGAAGAAAGGAACAGAGACGAACTACAAAAACAACCGGAAAACAAGTAACAAAATGGCAATAAATACATACCTATCAATAATTACTTTGAACGTAAATGGACTAAATGTCCCAATCAAAAGACATAGGGTGAAGGAATGGGTAAAAAAAACATGACTCATCTATATGCTGTCTACAAGTGACCCATTTCAGACCTAAAGACACCTGCAGATTTAAAGGGAAGGGATGGAAAAACATTTATCACGCAAATGGAAGTGAAAAGAAAGCCAGGGTAGCAGTAGTTATATAAAGGACAAAATCGACTTTAAAACAAAGACTGTAACAAGGGACAAAGAAGGGCATCATATAATCATAAAGGAGACAATCCAACAAGATCTAACAATTGTAAATATTTACGCACCAACATGGAAGCACCCAAATACATAAAGCAGCTACTAACAAACAGAAAGGAACTAATCAATGGTAATACAACAATAGTAGGGGACTTTAATGCCCTGTTTACATCAATGGACAGATCATCCAAACAGAAATCAATAAGGAGACAGTGACTTTGAATGGCACATTGGAGCAGATGGATTTAACAGATATTTTGAGAACATTCCAGTTTCATTTCTTTGATGTGTCTGTTGACCTTCTGGATGTCTTCTTTGGAAAGATGTCTGTTCATGTCTGCTGCCCATTTTTAAACTGGATTATTGTATTACTATCAAGGACATGCAAATCCAAACAACAATGAGATATCACCTCACACGTGTCAGAATAGCTAAAATCAAAAACAAAAGAAACAACAAGTTTGGTGAGGATGTGGAGAAGAAACCCTCATTCACTGTTGGTGGGAATGCAAGCTGGTGCAATCACAGGGGAGAACAGTACGGAGGTTCCTCAAAAAATTAAAAATAAAACTAACATATGATCCATTAATTCCACTACTGGGTATTTAGCCAAAGAATATGAAAACATTTATTCAAAAAGGCATATGCACCCCTGTGTTTATTGCAGCATTACTTAACAATAGCCAAATTATGGCAACAACCCAAGTGTCCATCGATAGATGAATGGATAAAGAAGCTGTGGTATGTATATAATGGAATACTACTCAGCCATAAAAAGAATGTAATCTTGCCATTTGCAACAACATGGATGTATCTAGAGAATATAATGCTAAGTGAAATAGGTCAATCGGAGAAATACAAATAAATACCACATGATTTCACTCTGATGTGGAATTTAAGAAACAAAACAGAAGAACAAAGAAGAAAAGAGACAGACCAAAAAAGAGTCTTAACTATAGAGAACAAAGAGGTGGTTACCAGAGAGGAGGTGGGGGGGGGGGGAATGGGTGAAATAGGTAATGGAGATTAAGAGTACGTTTATCATGATGAGCACTGAGTGATATATAGAACTGTTGAATCGCTATATTGTACACCTGAAACTAATATAACATTGTATGTCGACTGTACTGGAATAAAAAAAAAATCTCCCTCCCGTGTACCCCTGTGTTTTTCAAACTGCTGCTTCTGTGGTGTATGTCAGAGGGGCTGTTTGTTGTGGTGTCTCCTTAAGGGGGGAGACCCAGCTTCCTCTTGCCCTCTGGCTCTCCTAGAGCCAAGCCTGCTGATTTTTAAAGTTCCAGGTATTAAGCCCCTCTGATTGTAAGAACTTTCGAAGTTAGGCCTCTCTGGCTTTCAAAGCCAGATATTGTGGGGGGTGGGGGTGGGGGAGGGGTTGTCTTCCCTGTGTGAGTCCCTTGTGCCTGGGTACCTGGCGTGGGGTCTTCTCCTCTTCCCTCTCTGTGTCCCCAGCATCCCTCCCTCCCCTGGACAGTCTCGGACAGTCCTGCATGTCTGTTAGGCTCCCAGCTGTATCTCTCTCCCTTCCTCCCTTCTTTGATGTAGCCTTTTTTCTACATTTAGCTGTGGAGAATCTGTGCTGCCAGTGTTTGAGTCATTTGCTGGATTATATACAACTGACGTGGGTGTTACCAATTTGTGTCCATGGGATGAGAGGTGAGCCCAGGATTCTCCTAGCAAAATCTTCTGCCTTAACTCCGCTCTTTGAGAAGTCTTGGCCTACTGCTGGAGTTCAGTTTTCTGGGTCTGTTAGGTCATTGTTACTCGTCCGTCTGCTTTCCAGCTTCCAAAATTTTATTGCTGTTGTATGCTCTCCTAGTCTACCTGTCTAAGGTTTGTGACTGTTTAAAAAATATATTCCTTTACTGCAATTTTAACGAAGTTCGAGAGGGACTGAAGTTACATGCGTGTGTGCACTTGGCCTTCTTAACCCAGACTTCCACTGATATTTGATTAGTCATTCAGCAGAAAGCAGCAGTGATAATCCAGAGAAAATGAAAATAAATCTAAATGAGATATCCTTAAATAATCTTTGAAAAAGAGGTTTGCTAAATGTGAGAATTAGAACACTGAGCATATAGCATGTATGATATAATACACACTTTAGATTGTATTAAGGAAGTGTGTTTAAATATTAAAGGTAACTACAAAAAGAATAGAAGTTGAATGTATCACTTCCAAATTGATAAAGAGGATAAACGAATTCAAGGGCGTCTCAGTCAGTCCAAAGAATGTGGAAAATAGCTAAAAAAGAAGCATAGAAAAATCAGGGTGCATAGAAAGCACAAGATAAGGATATTAGCAATTATAATAAATGCAGCTGGACGAAACTCACAAGGTAGAAAACAGAGATCGTGAAATTGGACTTTACAAAGATCCACCTTACACTGTACCAACAAATTCTGCCTTCAGATGATACACTGACCCCTTCTTACCACTTCTATACCCATCACCTTGGTCCAAGCCACTGTCCCAATCTCCCTGAACAACCATGGTGGCCTTTGAACTCTCTGCTCCCGCGCTTGGTCCCCTGCTGTCTACTCTTCACACTACAGTCAGGAAGGATGATGTTAACAAGGTTAGGTCAGTCAGAGTGCTCCACTCCTCTGCTCAGAACCCCTCTTCTGAGGTCCCCAAGTCACTTAGGAAAAAAGTCCAAAGTGCTTTTCTTAGCACAGCTTACAAGGCCCTAAGGGATCAGGTCTGTCACTTCCTGCCATTGTCCTTGGTCACATGCTGGCTTCCTTGCTGTTTTCGACTATGTCCCACATGCTTCTATTCAAGGTCTTTGTTCTTGCTCTCACCCCTGCTCTGGGGTGCTCTTCTTCCAAGTACCCACAGCACTTAGAGACCTTATGTTTTAGATCTGGACCAGAGTGAGTCCTAATGTGGCAAGAAAGAAAGCATCTCGCAGATGATGCTGCCATCCTGAACTGCCCCATGTTTTACCTGTGCCTTGTGAATCTCTGTCCTTGGAAGTTTGATACTAGGTAAGATCTCGGATTCTGGTGAATCTGACTTGGTGATACAAGCCTTTGTGTTTTGTCAGTAGTATTCAACACGATTTGAAGTTCTCTATGTGTCTGTCTCTCGCTTTTGTGATAGAAACTCCTTGAAGGCGCAAAGCTTATGCCTCGTACACCATTGCATCCTTAGCATGTAGAACAAAGCCCGACGTGTACTGGTTCAGGAAACTGCTCTCCTGTTGCTCTTGGGCCTGAGCAGTAGTCTGGTTATAATTGTGTTTCTGACACCTTCTCTTCTGCCTCTAATACTTTCTAGACTCTACTTGTAAGACCTATTATCAGAATAGTGGCAAATGTGGAGATTAGGCTTACAAAGCACCGCAGAGATACTTACTATAGGTCTGATTCATGTGCTCAAAAATTCCAAGTTTACGGGAAGTAAAAGTAATTAAAAACTCCTATGAACTGGTCATCGTTCATTCGACAAATAATTATCAAGCATTTACTATGTGCTGGGTGTCAGGCATACAGAGACACAAGACAACTGAAGAAACCCCATCCTAATTGGGCTCGGGATAGTTTCAAACCATTTAAATTTGTGAACATCGAAAGTGTAAATACATAGGCATTAAAATATTCGAGATTGGGGGCGCCTGGGTGGCGCAGTCGGTTAGGCGTCCGACTTCAGCCAGGTCACGATCTCGCGGTCCGTGAGTTCGAGCCCCGCGTCGGGCTCTGGGCTGATGGCTCAGAGCCTGGAGCCTGTTTCCGATTCTGTGTCTCCCTCTCTCTCTGCCCCTCGCCCGTTCATGCTCTGTCTCTCTCTGTCCCAAAAATAAATAAACGTTGAAAAAAAATAAAAAAAAATATATTCGAGATTGTATTCAGTCCTCTTCGTTTTGCTAAATGAAGAAACTCACCCATAAATGAATGTTCAGTTGCATTTTCTGTGGTCAGTGATTTAATGTTAAATTAATAGTGGTGAGAAGCCTTTATGATGTCAATGTGTTAAATATTCCCTAGTAACCAGTTACAACAATGTAATGATTCTACTGAGTCATTTCCTGCATATTTTTCATCTTGGATGAAAAATACCTTACCATACCAGACGTACCACAAGCCCCAAAGGTCCCAAATCACGGTTTCTCATCATTTTTAACTGGTTAAGTATCCTCAGAAATATTTTCTTTGAAACTTCAGAAATGGCTGTCTCGTTAGTAGAGTAAAATCTGCATAATCCACAAAAATTCCAGTGGGGATTTGCATCAGCCTGGACCTTAACTACATCATTCTCGTTTCCAGATGAGCCCTGAGATGTCACATCGTTCGGGATCCAACTGTGTCAGAGATTGGGAACGGGTGGGAGTAATTATGTTCTGATTTTGAAGTAGCTGGTGACGTGAAATATTGTTATCTGTTAGTTTTCCTCAACACCTTGGCATTGGAGGAGGTGGGAGAAAGAAGTAGATCTGCTCTAATTTGTGCTAATGTTAGATGCCGGAGGTAAAGATTTGTAGACCGAGAGGTACTTCGGAGATTATCTAGAAATGGCTACCAGCCATGATTTCTGAATGAAAATAGGTAAATGGCGGTGGGGGCGGGGAGTGGGGTGTTGAGAGGATTGTGTTGCACAAAGAATACACTGAGATTATCACTTATCTGTAGCTAGAAGAACAACAGTAAATGGTACGAAAGCAGCGGTCAACAGCAGGAAACAAAACCCAGAGAAATCGGTCAGTAAGTGTCGTTTTCCGTCTCTTACACAAATGTGTAATATAAATAAATACCTTTCATAATTTTATATAAACCAGCCATAACAAGAGACTAATAAAAGTTTTTATTTCAATGTTTATTGTGATAAAATAAGTAATACATTATAGAAAATGTTTAAAGAAATAGAGGAAAATCCTTTCCAGTAATCCATCACCGTAATATAATCATTGTAATATTGTAGTGCACTTCCTTCCATATTATTTTCGTATGCCTGTTTTTAACATGACTGTATTCTTGTAGTACTGTTAGTTTAGCTGGAACCCCTTAATGCCTCCCCCGCTACAAGAGGATAAAATGGGGAAATTGATAGCCATTGATGCCTGCATAACCTCAAGTTCTAGAAACACTCAGTTGGAAGGGAACGTAATGATCTGGCTTAGCTACCTGACGATTCTTAGCATCTCTGATGGTTGGTTCATTCCAACTTTTTTTTGGATACTTACCTTAATAAATAATTTATAACCCAAACCCATATCCTGATTTTTGTACAATAGTCTCTGGACTGTTTTGGAGTAAACAAATTTTCTTAAGTAGGTGGCTTTTTATTATATTTTTTTAAATGTTTATTTTTGAGAGAGAGACAGAGACAGAGCATGAGCAGGGGAAGGGCAAAGAGAGAGGGAGACAAAGAATCTGAAGCAGGCTCCAGGCTCTGAGCTGTCAGCACAGAGTGAGACATGAGACTCAAACTCGTGAGCCGCGAGATCATGACCTGAGCCGAAGTCGAACGCTCAACCGACTGAGCCACCCAGGAGCCCCTAAAGTAGGTGGCTTTAAGATTTTTCATTCGTAAAGATTTTTTTTTGGCAAATGCCAATGAATTTTTGTTAATAAAATATTCCGTCCAAGGTAGAGAAGTACTTTCTAAATTGTACTTTTTTCTTTTTTTGCTTTGAGTCATGATTTGTATCAGAATTTGAATATGTGGTATTTGGAGCCTAACTTGAAATATCTCCTGGTTTTTGTTTTTATTTTTTAACCACAAAGAGTTAAAAAATGGTACATATATCTTCTTTGGTGACCTGGAACTAGGTGAAATGTAGGTGCTTTATAAACCATATTAACTACTGATATTATCTTGCTTTTGTGAAGCATGAAATCGTTCAATTTATTGACTGAGTGTTGTGTCACTGGGGAGAAATGAATTTTCACTGTGTGTTTTATTGCACCTACTCAGTGAGTTCAGCATTAAAATAAATAATGCTTTAATGAGAAAAGGGATGGCCTGATGATTTCACTGTGGGAATAAAGATGATTTCACTCTGGGGGCAGAGAACTCTGGGCTGTGGTCCCATCAAAGCACCTGACCGAATTATGGACAAGGTGGGCACTTCACCTCCCTGTGTCCGACTTTCTGCAGGAGCAAAATACATGAAGACAATTGACTTTGGCCAAAGTGGAGTGAGAAACCGTATTTGCCTCATGCTTCGAGACTGAGATAGATGGCGATGTTTATAAAAATCCCACACCATCCATATTTACTGAGACTTCTTCATGCCGGGGAGAGGGTGCAGAGAGACTGGGGTGTCTGCAGGTGTGGTGGTAGCGGGGGGATCTTCCTACAAAGGGGTTTATTATGTCTTCATTCACAAATGCTGCCCAGGCCGCTTGCCAGTTGTGACCTCCTTTTCTGTACATTAGCCCTCCTCGTAGCTGAAACAAACCAGATTGTACCAGACTTTGCCTCATCCCTGTCGGTGGTAACATGATGTATTTGTTTGCTTTCTTTTTGTCTTTTGAAGAGGAGGGACGTGTTTGGTGGCTGGCTGTTACTCTCCCTCTGTCCTGCCAGTCAGCCCACAGAGGCACAGAGGGAGACAGCAGAGGGGGAGCGCACACCCTGTCCTCTAGGCGGGGGCCGGGGCTGGGCACAAGGCACTAGGTATGCCTAGCAATGGAGTACGTTCTCACCACACACCCTGTGGCATCTACAGGTGGAAGGCAGGACCAAACTCCCGTATGAACAAGTTAGGTCTGTTTGGTGGGGCCGGGAGGGGGTGCTTGAGATTTCAGCACCAGACATGGATTCTTTTAGAAGATGTCATTGCACGATACAGAACCAGATGTGCGCGCCCTCTTGATAGAAATCATCATACTCATAACAAGAGACTCACGGTTGGGGCGCCTGGGTGGCTCAGTCGGTTGGGCGTCCGACTCTTGGTTTCGGCTCAGGTCACGATCTCCTGGTTCTTGGGTTCGAGCCCCGCATTGGGCTCTGCACTGACCTTGCAGAGCCTGTTTGGGATTCTCTCTCTCTCCCTCTCTCTCTGCCCCCCCCCCAATAAATTAATTTAATTAAATTAAAAAAAAAAGAGAGGTTCACAGTTCACAGAACACCTCATATCATCTCATGTAAACTTCACAGCAACTGTGTGAGATAAACCGGCCACTTGCCCTGTTACAGGTGAGGACGCAAAGGGGTATGTTGGTCAGAATATTTTAAACTATCCTTGGTCTAACATGGTGAATATGTTGATATTTTTCCGTGAGAAAGGCAACATCTATTTTTTAAAGAAACTTCCCAGTACAAAGAGAAGTGTTTTCCCAGTATGACTTTGGTTGAATGAAGAAATGGCAATGAATTCCTAGTTTTTCCCAACATGTCTGCTGTAACATGGGAGTCCTTCTTGAGTTCACTTCATTATAAGTCAGGTTATTGATTTAAATTTGTTTATTTATTTCTGAGACAGAGAGAGACAGAGCATGAGCAGAGGAGGGGCAGAGAGAGAGGGAGACACAGAATCCAAAGCAGGCTCCGGGCTCTGAGCTGTCAGCACAGAGCCCCAAGCAGGGCTGGAACTCAAGGACTGTGAGATCATGACCTGAGCCAAAGTCGGATGCTTCACCGCCTGAGCCACCTGGGGGCCCCATAAGTCAGTTAATTGAGTTTTCTCTTGGAGAAAGTAGGTCTGGGCTGTGTTATTTTCTCCATATCAGCTCTGTAAAATCAGTTCTGAATTTAGAATATCTGCTTTGTTAATTTCCAGTTGGTAAGTATAGGAACTTAAGCTTGATAGGGATTCAAAGTCTTTGGGTTACAATGTATCATGCATACTTAGAATGTGTGTGTGTGTGTGTGTGTGTGTGTGTGTGTGTGTGTGTGTGTGT